GTTAAAACAAATGCCAAAAATAATGTTGAAGTAACATAGTGATAAATAAATAAAATAAAATAAGATCTAAATAATTTAAGCAAAGGAATCTTGAACAATATAGCCGAGGCCAAGAAGTATCCTTGGAAAACCAATCTTGAGGAACGTCCTAGTGCCAAAACAATTAAAACCAATACTTCAGAAATTTAAGCATTTTTATACAACATATGGCTAACAGATGCACTAAACTCAATAATTCAGAGCAATATACTCACGTGTGTAGGTTGTCTACTTCTTTCCTCTCAAGTTCTTCCCCAAGAGTAAATGCATCTCTTAGGGCACAGAGTCGCTCCTCAGGATCCTCAGTCTTAAGAAGATACTTTAAAATTCTTACTTCCATTGGCAGGAGCCTCTGAAGATTACCTCTTGCAGTCATGTAAAGATGGTATAATATGTCTTTTGCCTGCATTTAAGCAAAGGAAATGATAAAAAATTATCAAGCAGCATCCCAGCATGGTCCAAATAATCAGTTTATATATCTGTTTTTCAAATAATAATCATTTTCTAGACAATCAAATTAATCTATTTTGTCATATTTATAAGAAAGAAACTTCAGAACTTGCAGAATCTAAATGCCCATTTGGATGCCCTTATCTTCAGAGCACAATATAGAGATGGTAATATAGTCATGAATGAGCAGAAATGCATGATCTTAAGTAACTACCACTTTTGCTCCTTGGTTGTTATAAGTTCTAGTAAATTTAGGTTTCTCATAAATCATATGGTAGCATCTCCTAGAAATCATCTTGCTTCAAAATTTTATCAACAAGCGAAATCTTTTCCCTTCCTTCAATGAAATGTACCCTATAAAGATGATAGATTATTTAACCTATTGATATATGGGCATATTTCTCCAGCCTTCCAATTTACCATTAAATTCATATAAAAGATCAGTCATATTTTTCTGGCTATCATATAATTATAGAGAATGAAGGTTTTCTATAGCCAGCAATCACCTTGTCTTTCGTCATGTTAGATTCCTTGGTTGCTGACCATGCTTTAGTGATCATCAGCACCAATGCTGAATCAAGTTGATTTTTCTCAGCTAAACTGTCTGTCTTCCTGCAAGCAGCATCCAAAGAAGGAGAATGGATGATATCTTGGAGTTTTAATTCTGCTGCATTCAGGGCTTCAATGTCTCCAGTTGTAGTATCATAAGTTTGCACAGCAGCCAGGCACGTACTCTCAAGCTTCAACAGAGCTGCCATGGAGAAACAATAAAATTACTGTTCTTGTCTACAATAGTTAAAATATGAAATAAAAATTGCAATCTCATGCCAGCCTAGGGTAGGTCAGCATTCACTAGTTAAGCTCTTCTCCCTTTGGTACATCAAATCACTTACCATATCAAATATGTAAAATGCTGGCCAATATTTGCAACAAATCCAGTCTAACTTAGGCAGCCGTTGTAATGCAGGTTTTGTTTTAAATTAGTAATACACAAAATCAGTCATCTGTGACCTAATTTCTTGACAAGTGACTAAGCAAGTACTGAATACTGGATTTAGTTGGGCTGACTGACAAATTGGAACTTGCGAGTGCCATGAATCCAAGAAGAAGCAAGTAGAGCAAATAAGAAGGCAACACATATATAGATCTGATTCCATTGCTCTCGACTAACATAAGCCAGTTCATTCTTTGAAAAGACGAAAGAAAAACAAGTACTATAGAAGTTAATAGAGTCTAGATTTCTCATTTTGTAATTTATCCATTGATTAAGGTTGTCTGGCACATAATATACACTGGAATACATTAAAAAAAATTCTAACAGATTATTGAATTAAAAAGGAAAAGTAAGACCCACCATTCTGCTCATCTGGGTTATCATAGCAGGATTATGCTATAGTGTGAAGATGCACAAAGAACTCTTCTGTGAAATTTTTACGTTGCCTAGAAATGATTTCATTTATCTCTGATGGCAATGCCTTGACTGCTTCAAGCAGCTCATTGTGTCTTTGCACATCAATCTGCACACCACAAACTCCACCAAACCACTAGAAAGTCCAAACAAAAATATAAAACAGATGTAGGACGCATCAGACATGCATTAATATAACAAACCACTAAGTTTTAAGGAAATAAGCAATTTCAGGAGATGTTCTGCTGACATTCAATGAGCACAAGAAGTCCGTTCTCATCAAAATGTCAACTTTCAAATTATATGACCCACCTCTTTTAGCTTCCTTCCCAGCCAAAGAAACTTATGCTTCATCCCGAGATCATCCTCGCTATCTGCTCTGTCCTGACAACGGTTATAGAAATAAGGACAGATATTATTCCATTCTTTACTAAAAGCAAGTAACCCCTTCTCCAGTCAGCTGGTGTGGGTTTGTCAACCATAAAGATCTCAATTAGCTTATCACATACTCTGATCATTTTATGGCTGTCAAAGCTCTCTTCTTCATCCTTCTCTCCACCATCCATCATCGGCTCATCAGGAACAGATACAGAATCAGAAAATGAAATCTGCTCACTGCTGCAATCCTTAGGAACAGCAGCTGTTTCACCAGCAAACACAGCAAAAGAGAATTGATTTGGCCTCACCACATCAACAAATGCAGGGCAACCTGGCATATCATTATAGCTATTCCTCAGATGATAGGCTAAATAACTAAACTTTTGGGGTTAAAAACTCAATTTTTTTATTCTTGAAAAGGATTCTACGGTTAAGAATGAATCCACAAAGACACTTACTCAACAATCTTGACGACAAACAACAATTTTGATGTGAACTTCCAGTGAAAAGGAGAGATGCTGCAGAAGTACCATAATTTATAGCTTTGCCCTCAGATACGATCCACAATCCCATAGGAAGGTGAACTTTAAATAATTTGAGTTAAAGCCATGAATACTGTGGAGAGTGCCACTGGAGATTAACTAAAGTTATCATCATAATCCACTTGTTTCTTTCAAACAACAGGCAGTCATACTTCAGAGAATGACCAATTCCTCCTTTCATTTTCTTTCACAAAATTGTAGACCAATATGAACCAAGTCTGACCATTGGGTACAAACCCATTCTTCACTCCTTGATGTAGAACCAAACAGGCATCATCAAACAAACCCTCTTTACAATGCCAACTAATCAAAGTGTTATAAGTAATGGCATCAGGATAAATTCCTTCAACTTGTAATTTTTCAAATAGATTCAAGGCCTCCTGAATGCGACCTTCCCTGCAGAGACCATTTATTAGGGTATTATAGGTGACTATATCTGGTGTCAAACCTCGATAAATCATTTCCCTGAGAAACTCAAGTGCATTATTTGTTCTCCCAGAGCAGCAGAGACCATTGATCACAATATTACAAGAAACATTGTTCAGAACAAGTCCCTTCATCAACATTTCTTCAAACAACCCTAATCCTTTATCCACAGCCCCAGCTCTGCAGAGTGCCCTAATTAGGCCATTATAGGTGATCTCATCCAGAGGGCATCCTCTAAACAACATATCTTTAACAAGCTTGAGTGCTTCCTGAATGGCACCACTCCTCAGAAAAGCATGAATTAGTGTGTTGTATGTCACTGTGTTGGCAACAACACCCTCAACCAACATATCACGATACACTACCAAGGCCTCTTCCATTTCATTCACCTTGCACAGACCAAATATTAGAGAATTAAAAGTGCATGCGTCTGGTTTGAAACCCTTGTTTTTCATTTCACCAAACATTTCCTTAGCGTCATGAACCTTGCCACTCTTGCATAGTGTACTTATTAGGGAATTGTATCCCACTGTATTCAGACTGATTCCTTTATAAGACATTTCATTTAAAATACTACCAGCCTCCTCAAGTCGCCCCTCCTTGCAGTAACCATTGATCAAAATCGTGTAAGTGAACACATTCGGATTGTGGCCCATATCTATCATCTCATTGACCAATTCAAGAGCAGAACCTAGATATCCTCCCTTGCAAAGTCCATGAATCAGTATGTTATATGTAAAAATATCAGGCTTACATCCAACATTTGACATAATATTACGCAGAATATCCCAAGCTTCATCAAGCCTTCCATTGGCAACATATCCATCCATCAATGTGTTGAAGTGTATAACATTTGGGCTGAACACTTTGCTTAGCAATGCCCTTGCTTCGTCAACTTGGCTATTTTCACACAATCCATGCATTAAAACCCCGTAAGTTACATCGTCAGGGGTGAAACCACGAAGAAGCATTCGATCAACCAATTTTATTGCCTCATGAATCCGTTTGAGCTTGCAAAGGCCATGAATAACATCATTGAAGGTCTGAGCATCAGGAATACAACCCATCAAAAGCATTTCCTCCAAAAGTTTCATCGCATCATTCACTCTATTACTTTTTGCCAATGCATGTATTAGAGTCTGGTAAACCACTGCATTTGGCACACACCCATGTTTTGTCATATCCCTGAGTAGTGAGCATGCAGCATCTACTTCATTAACCATACAAAGAGCTTTCATTACAACCCCAAATGTGTAAACATTTGGAGAAATACCTCTATTCAGCATGTCATAGAATACATTTGGCATAACTCTATAGCAAGTACCAGCCGCCAGTAATTCCAGGACCACATTATAAGACTTAAATGTGGGTTCACAGGAATACACACCCTTCAAATCCAACAGTAATCTAGTTGCTTGCCCAGGTAAGCCTGCTTTCCCATAATGTCTCATGATCAAAATGAAAAGGGACTCCCTATAGACAACCCCTTCTTCTTTCATTTGAATCAATAAACTATCTATGATCTTAAACTCCCCCGCAGCACCAAGTTTATCAATGAGCACACTATACACCTCAAAAGAATGGCAATAGCCCCTCTGGCAACCTGCCCACTGAAACAACCTAATTGATGTGGGCACATCAATTGGCAACTCCAGTAACTTGCAGAGCTGGTAAGGGGTGATTTTATTGAATGTTTTTCGAAGCTCATTAAGATCAAATGGCTTAACTAATCTCTCCCATTCATTTTCAGATTCCCCTTCACTATTACTCAACAGAGTTTCACTATTATCGCCTTTTCCACTATACCAAGATGAAAAAATGGCAAAATAAGTGTTTCTACACAAAGATTGAAACTTTTTGCTCACATGGGATGCAAGCTCTAATCTTCTTACAGGAAACGAGCAACAGGCATGGAGACTTGCTGAAGAAAACCCCATAGAGCACAAAAACCCCTGAAAGCAGAAAATAATTCAGAAACAACAATCAAGTCAGATTCAGAGAGCAGAAAATATAGGACCCATTTGCAAAGAATCAACGAAACCCAACATTTTATCCAAACTGAAAATAAAATCAAAAGCAGTGAGCAAGGAGTCAAACCGTCACAATGGGAAAGGGGTTCTCGATCACGAGTGAAGAAGTGAATGAGTAGGCAGAAACTGAAGAATCAGGAAGAGAAGGGGGAGTGGAATTTTCTTTTTCTTTTTCTTTTTCTTTTTTTATGGAAATGTGCTGCGCCAAGGAAAATGAAAACCTCTCGCCGCCGTCGAGACAGGGTTGAGGAAATATCTCAATTTCTCAACCGGGAAAATATAGTATCCTCGATTACAATTTAATACAAAGTTGGTGTACTTATTCGCACTTCTTCACTTTTGTGTAAGGGTAGGCTAAGGCTGTTTGGTGTGGCTGGAGGGAGCTTTAGCTTTTTGAGTATTGTTATGAGTGATAAATTTAAATTTTTATTGGAGGGAAAATAGAGTTTTAGCTTTTAAAAAGGTGAAAAAATAAGTGAAAAGTAAGTAAAAGAGAGTTTATGAAAAGTTTGGATTTGAAATTTTTGAGGTTTTACTGTTTAAAAACTTTTTGAGGTTAAAAAAATATTTAAAAGTGTAAATTTTTTTTAAAATATTTAAATTCATAAGAAATAAATAATGTGCAAAATCTGAAACTCCTAGTAGTTGCACCAAACATGGCCTAAGAATAAGTGAATCCCCCTACTTGCTGTACATAGTGCGAAATCCAATCCCCTGCTTGCTAACCTCGATCACTCGATAGCCGAGTTGTATGATAACTACTGAGAGCATGCCTCCGGTCACTCCACTATTCCCGGACCAACTGTACATATTGTGAAATCCAATCCCCTACTTCCAGACCTCGGTCGCTAGATAGCCGAGTTGTATGATAATTATTATGAGCATGCCCTCATTCAATCCACTATTCTTGAGATCGTAAGATCTAGTTATTTCGTTAGGTCAGGTGTATACGCTTATAAATATCTCATGAGTGACTTAAAAAGGTCATTGAAATTAATTTAAAATTTTTTTATAATTTTTTTATAATAAATTAAATTATTATTAATTTAAGTATTGAAATGTCTATTTAAAGAATTCAACCTCAGGCTTGGTAGATCACTCTAAAGAAAAGATTTGGATCGAAAAGGCTCACTAATTTGTTGCAATTACATTTAGCCTTCAAAATTTTTTTTGTAAAATTAACAATTTTAAGTGACTAATTATATACAACCACGTAAAAAATGAAGAGATTTTAAACTCTGGCTTCTCGAAAGGGAAAGAATTTTTTTAATATATGTCATAAAAGTATAAGTTAAAATATAATTAATATATTTTTTAATTATTAATATATAAAAAAATAAAATTTTGATATTAATTTTAATATTAATGTTAAATATCTTAATTTAATTAGTTAGTTGTTAAAATTAAAAATCAAACTTTATTTTTTTTATGTAACTTAACTATAAAAAAGTGTATTACACTTGGACCTTCGAGTTTAATAACGTTAAATCACATTTAAGTGCATATTCCCTCTCTCAAACAACGGTTTGAATTCGATTTCTTGTAAAATTATTAAAAAAATATATAAAAATATATATTAATTATTTTCTTAGGTTATGCCTTTAAAATACAGGTTAAAAAAATATTTTATTATTATTATTATTTTTAAAATATATAAAATGTTAATTAAAATTAACAAAAATATATAAAAAAATTAACCAAAAAATATAAATTTACTTTTTTAAAAATGAAATAGCATGTGGAAAAGCCATGTGCAAGACATTGTCAAAGAAGCCTAAATTTAGAAACCTAAAAATGTTAGCAATTCACTTTTTTGTGTGACCAAGGAATAGCCCAAAGAAAAAAGATAATTTTAAGGTTGCACCAAAGA